ATGCTATCTACTTCGTATGGACCCTCTAACCTCGTCTGTAGCCTTGTCTGTGCAATAACAGGGATACGTACTCGGGATAAGGGCAACCAATCCTGTCCAAGGATTTGATTTTACGTTTGTAAACACTCTTTGTCGCTAAGGCCAAGAGCCCAGGAGCACCAACCACTCCCCCACCCGTCAGTGTTCTTCATCAACCAATATGGCACTCAGTCAAAACATTGCCTAGGAATTTGTTTATTGAAGTTTGAATTGATTTTTTTTTTCTCTGTGGGTTGGAAGAAGTGTAAAAATACCCTGTTACTTTATTTGGCATGCGGCGGTTATATAAAAATCTCTGAATATTTTTCTTTGAGAAGATTTTTCCATTCTTAGTTGATACTGAAAATAAATAAGAAATAAGAAATGATTACAGGTGAGTTTTATTACTATTTAAATACTTTAAAATGATGTATCTTTCACAAAAAGAAGCTCTTTTTTTACAAGAATTTGAAGTATATTTCGATGAAAAATTCCTTCAACAATGCAGTGAAGGGCTACCTAACATAAAAATATAAGATGTTTATTACCCCATCCAATCGATATGTAGGTCAGATATTTTTGGTCCGTTGTGAAGACTTCGACTACTTTCAAATAAAGGTTGATTCCTTCCACTAGCATCCAAGTATAAAGACTGGTGTGAAGATAGTATATGATTACTGTAATTGAGCTACAGACCACCTATAAAGAAAAACAAAAATATACATTCGATGGTATGTTGATTTTGTATATGCACTCTGTGTGGATGTGTCTATCTTGTCTTGATTAATGGTGGATTCAGTTCAACGAACTGATTTTGCTCAGAAAAAGACAACAGTGACTTCAAACACCCCAGCAAATTCCATCCCAGCGAAACCGTTCACTTAGTTATGTATGTTCTTTTGTTTTCCACACCTCATTTTATACTAATGCAATTTCACATTTTCATTTTTACAACGTTAAAATAGTACCAATCTTGTAATTATCTGACTTTGATAATGGTGACATGTCGTCGCAGAAACATTCATGTTTTTATGTCGCTTCTGTTTATTCTAAGACAACAGCTTTTATTAAAAAAAAAAAAGCATGATAAATGGATAAACAAGTAAAATGAAGCTCTTTGATCTCGTCACGTAATCTTAGGAAGGAATGCATGACGAACCTAAGATTGTCTGCGTCGTGGGACGAACTAAATGCATGTACTCACAAAGTGTTCATGTCTTGAGTTGAAGAGCTTCCTGTCCAAAACAAACACCAGATCTCCGAGAGCCAGTGAAAGAAGGTTCTTGTGTACAAATATTTTCATGGACTTTTTAACCCTTTAAAATTGATGACTAATTTTAGTTCAAAAGAGATCAAATTTCAATCGACTTCGATGCTACTTAGACTATTAAATTTAAATGTTGAAAGTCCTAAGTGGTATCCGAGTGCAGACTCAGCTCTGGCGATTGTTCGAAAAACACCTGAAGAAAGACTATTCATCTGCAACAGCGAGATCCCGGGATCCCTCAGGAAATCTAAAGAAAATTTTACGTAATATTTCACCACATTTCCAAACACTGAGAAGAGAAGAGATAATACGTTGCCCAAACAGAGTATTTCTGACGAGCTTTGAGGTGTTTTGGAAATGTGCAGAAACATGCAATGCCTCAAGTGTCTGTTATATCTGCTCAAAAGAATCTAGAACTAAGGAGAAGTCGTAAAAATTGTGTTAGTTATGATCAGATATCCAAACGCTGTATGCATGATTCCCTTCGTCTAAACTTGATTAATTTTTAATGAATGCGAGAAGTGTAGGTGAATCGTGTTGATCAGGATTTGGAGAAATATCAGTGAACATTGAATTTCTAATCTTTAGTCGACTTTTTTCTGGATAGGCAGAATTGCTATGACGGTAATCGCCATTCGTCAATCTATTTGAACTAACTGCTGTCAATTTCAATAGCTGCATCTAAAATACATATACCACTAACAGTTTAGAAGAAGTCATTTGTAACACATTCCTTACCTCAAGAATGTCAGTAATATAAGGGAAACTACTTCCGCCATTATTGAGATGCAGAGAAGCACTATCTCCATGTGTTCCTGGATGTTATGGTGCCTTTGAAGTTTCACACTAAGATGGTTTTTGAACGTTATCGTTTCCCAGCAAGCATATAATAAGCAAAATAATTTTGTTGAATTTTAAACACTTAAAAGTGATAATTAGACAAGAAGGACATTCATCATTGTTGTCCTAACTACATGTCCTATCTAAAACGGCAACGAGGACCTCATCAGTGAATTTGGAAGATATGTTTTAAGTTTTCTGTGTCGAAATGACCAGTGTCTTACATATTTAGTGTTAAGAGAGCGCTGCCTGAGTTAATCTAGACTCTTACAGCTTTCAAAGATAAATAAAATCAATCAAATTTGTCCTCTGGTCAGCCGACCTTTTTGGTTTTTCCTACTTCTGAATTATTTTGAGGGTAAACTCCACCGTAAGGGAACAAAGATTAGTGTGTGTTTGATATATAGAACATCGACACTATAAGCTTGAAATTATACATATCGCAGGGGTTAAATTTGGCCAATCGTTGCCAGCTCCTTGTCCCAAGTGTTGGTGACATTAAAAGATCAACTGGATCGTCGCTCTTTCAGAACGAAGGTGTGTAACAATGCTATTTGTCAAGTTGCCTCAACAATTAATCTTGTGTCGCCTACATCACACCTAGCCTGTATGGGCCGGGTGGTGTCAATGTTGGGGTGTCCTTACCCTGATCTAGCACACTTACGCTTGATATTAGCTCACTGCATATCCATTTAAGCGAAACAATAACCATTGATATATTAGAATCTAATCCATATTCAGAGTACCTCATCTAATTTAAAGGACATCGCAAAGCAGTTATGTGACTCAAGAAATTCTTTCACCTCTTCATCGGTCAACTATTGGAAAGATAGTGATATGTCATTAAGCCCATAGTTGATAAAAACGTACCCACTGAGCGGAAAATTGGTGAATGCACGAAATGCGGTAATTCTTTTTCTTCTTCAGTTACAGGAAATTTTGTAACAAAAATGCTGATTTCAGGTGAAATGATCAAATTCAAGGCATTTTACGAGAACTTTCCGCAAGGTTAGTTTTAAGTTGCCAACTTTTCACTCAGTTTACCTTTGTGAAGCATCAAATCTGCAATTATCAACAGTGGTCATG